GATAGATAGATAGATAGATAGATAGATAGATAGATAGATAGATAGATAGATGGATGGACGACTGGGTAGATGGATAGATAGATAGGTAGATAGATAACTCTAGAGACTGATACATGATATAGATGTAAACATAGATGAATGGGTGGATAGATAGATGGATATAGATAGACGAATGTTGATTAAATTGAATTGACATGAATGGTGAGGTTGTTGGGGTAGGGAAAGTATTCTTATTGCCCCCATCACCTCCCCAGGAGGGAAATAGTTCACAATCCTGGTGGCCACCTGGATGTGGAACCAGGAAGACCTGAGTTCAAATCCCATATCTGATAATTTCTAGCTGTGTGACCTTGGACAAGTTAACTTCTTTCAATTTCAGTTTCCTCATATGAAAAAGGGGGAATACTATCTATGGTACTTACCTCTGAGAGTAGTGGTGAAGCTTAAAGAAAATAATGTTGTGAAGAACTTGGTAAAACAAGTGATGTGTCAGTTATCATCTTCATTTTCATAATGTAGCGACAGGAATTTGGAGTCAGAATTTGGTTCAAGACCCAGTTCTGAAACTACATGTCTGTGTGATCTTGGATAAGTCAATTCTCTTCCCAGACTCAATTTCCTCATCCGTAAAATAAGGGATCGCAGGAAGCTAGATTAAGAGCTGGAAGGAGCTCTTGGAGGCCCCCAAGTCAAAACTCCTTATTTGACAGACGAGAAGACAGAGATCCAGAGAAGTGACTTGCCCAGGGTCACATAGCTAGTAAGTGCTGAGGCAGTATTTGAACCCACTCCTGACATTAAGCCTATCCATTTCTATCCACTGCAGCCACCTTTCTGCTCTAAGGGGGTTAGTCTAGAATTTAGACTCTAGATGGCCTTTAAGGTCTCCCCTTCCAGCTCTGACATCCTATTTTCTATGAAAAGCTACCAGGAATGCCGAGAATAACTTGAGCTTGCTAGCTGTGACTTGTCATAGCCCCTCTCTGAGCCTCAGTTTCCTCTTCTGTGAAATGGGAATAATCTCTCCCTAAAAAAATGGGAATAAATGGGGAAAAAATACCATGTGCTACCTACCACCCAGGGTTATGAAGAAACTATTTTGTAAACCTAAAACTCTTTAGGACAGGGTGCATGGGGTAACAGAGAGCTGGCCTGGGAGTCAGAAAGACCTGGGATTAAGGTTTAATTCCTGAATGCTGTGGAGGCTTTAATGAGGTTATGGAGAGGAAAGTGCTTTCAGAATGCCATATACAAAACACCAGATTTTTGGTCAGTGATTCAGTTCTGAGCTCTATTAATTATTAGCTGTGTGACCTTGGTCAAATTGCTTTTTTCCAGGCCTCAGTTTCCTCTTCTGTATAATAAGAAGTTTGACTCAGGATGTGCTGGAACTAGCTCTCACTGGCTTGCAGGAGTTAGAAATCAGCAGTAGCTACAAATAAGGGCTTGATTTATTGTTTTGCTGACTGTTTGGGCTGAACAAAGTGACGGAGGAAATGTTAATAATGCAGATTCAATTTAAAAGCGTGTGTGCATACATGCCTCCCCCCTCGCTCCACCCCAGTCTGGTTGTTAAACATTTACTAGCATGCCTGTGTATTGTTCTACAGACATTGCTTGAGCTCAGCAGGAGCACAGTAGAAGGCTTAGGGAAGGAATTCCTCACCAGACTGAAGGATAATTAATAATTGATGATGAAGAAGAGGATAATGATGATAACTGGCATTTGTAAAGCACTTTTTTTTTTGTGAGGCAATCAGGGTTAAGTGACTTGCCCAGGGTCACCCAGCTTGTAAGTGTCAAGTGTCTGAGGCCGGATTTGAACTCAGGTCCTCCTGACTCCAAGGCCAGAGCTCTATCCACTGTGACACCTAGCTGCCCCCTGTATAGCACTTTCGTTCAAGGTTTGCAAAGTACTTTATATGTCTCTCATCTAATTTGAGCCTCATAACAACCATGGATTAGAGGATCTCTAAGGTCTTTTCTGACTCAAAATCCTATGACCCAGTAACTTCATAAGAATATTCAGTCTAGAAGGACTTATAGACACTGCCTAGTTCAACTCTTTTCTTTTACAGAGGGGGAAACTGAGGCCCAGAAGAGACAGTGACTTATACAAGGTCACCCAGGCAGTCAGTGGCAGGGCCTGACCTCCCAGCTTCCCAGGGTTCCATAAGCTACAGCAGCACTGTGTGGGGAGGAAAGATGGATAGGTGTCTTTGAGAAAGGGCTGGATTAGCTGAATCTAGCTTTCCAGACATTGGCTCAGAAAAGCAGAAGGAGATCTGGACTTGGGTATGAGTCCCAACTCTAACACTTCCTCTCTGTGTGTCCAGGACAAGTCCCAGAATCTCAGGACTGGAAAGGGTAATAATAACAGCTCATATTTATTCTCTCTCCCTGTGATTCAAATTGTATAAATATTATATTTTTATCCTCATTTTGCAGATAAGGAAACCAAGGCTCTGAAATTTTACGTCAGAGCTAGATTATAGAGAGATTCTTGTTCAGGGAAGTGTTGGAAGTGATGGCTTTGGAGGTTCGTTTCAAACTGCGGATTTTGTGATTTGCCCATGGACACATAGCTAGTAAAGTGTCTGCGGTCGGATTTGAACTCAGGTCCTCCTGACTGCAGGGCCAGTGTTCCATCCACCTAGCTGCCCGCCGAGCTCCAGTCTTATACTGACTAACTGCATCCCTTCCACATTTCAAAAAAGGAATTTATCTTTCCTTAAATCTGCACCTCCTTCAAACCTCCCTATTTCTGGGGAAGGTACCACCATCTTTCTACTCATCCAGGTCCACAACCTTGGAGACCTCCTTGACTTTTCCTTATCACTGCTCAATCATATTTTGTTGATTTTTATCTCCTTGACATCTCTTGTATCTGTTGTCTCCTCGGTTGAGACCTTTACATAAACTTCTCAGCTGGGAACTTAAAACGAGCTAAATCTAAAAAGGCAGATCGGTTCAGTGGGTAAAAAGTTGGTTCAGAGCCGGGTTCAAGGCCTGCCTCTGACCCATACTAGGTGTAGGACCCTGGGGAAGCCAGTTAACCTTTGAGGGGCCCCAGCTTCTCTCTCAGACTCTGAGATTTATAAAATCGGATGATTCATCTTGGTAGACAGCGATCCCTCACTGGAGTTCCAATACACCAATGAAATCCCAAGTCTACACCCTAGCCCTAAAATGCTCTAGAAATATGAGTTTTTATTAAACACAAATTAGGAAAAATCATAGGATTTAAAGTTGCAAAGGACCTCTGGGACCATCTAGTCCAACCAACCCCCTCAAGGAACCAAGGCTCAGAAAGAGCAAGGTTTTGCCCAAAGAGACACGGGTAATAGAGTAGAAGTAGCAGGGCCAAGACTCCAACCCAGATGTTTGGCCCAACAGTCTAACCTGGAGTCAGGATGTCAGCCTTCGAGGCTACCAGAGAGATCCTCCCCACCCCCCTTACCCCCCACAACCTCTCAGAGGTCCAATACATAACCCTGAGGACCATAAAGTGGCAAGAAACTGGAGCATGATGGGGTCTGGAAGGCTTTAGAATACCACCACAGCATTTATTTCATACCGCTGTTTAAAATATATAGATCATATATTCATATATTTATATATTTATATGGAAAGAGGAATAGAGGGAAAACAACCCACGACACGAACTATACTTTTATAAATATTTCTGTATGGTCCACATTCCGAAGGAGAGGGAAATGTGTATCCTCCATGAGTGGGTCCGTTTGCTCAATGGCCTGGACAAAATCGGTTTCCTTGGCTCTGGACGGAGTCTCCTTTAGAAGAAAGAGACTCTGGAATCAGGCAGCGCCCTCCCCCTCCCCCACCCCGCCATGCACACAGCTCCGTCCTGTTCTTCACACCAGCGATGGAGAGGGAGGAGGGCTCATGTTCAGATGACTTCAGCTTCATCTTCTGCCAATACACCCAGGAGAAAAAGGATGGGCTCCCCTCCGGGATGCTGGAGCTCTGAATGACCCGAGGTTGCCGTGTCCTTAGTTTGGTCCATGGCCAGCCCTGAATGTCCTTGCCTCCCTCCCTTCCTCTCTCCTTGCAAGGATGAGGCAAGAGAGAAGACACTCCAATTCCAGGGTCTGTCTCCCCTCCTCTTCCTCCACTCCCCCACTGCCTCTCTTAGCACTCTTTGCTTCTGCTCCTCCCAGGCCAATGACATTGACATTCTACCCAACCCCTTATCCCTAGGAGGCAACTGGACGGCCAGAGTGGACGCCCGACCCTGGGGTTATTGAGTCTCTATTTTCTCCCCACCCCTGCTTTCTACCACGTAGGTAAATGCCACTTAGAAGGCTCTGAGGACGTGTTGCCCGGCCCAATCCACCCTTCCAGTCACAGATGTCTTCCAAAAGCCACAAAAGGAAAAATAAAAGACGGAAGGCACCATTGATGACAATTTTTAAAAACGGTCTGTTTTGGCTTTCTTTCCCGTGAGGTCCTGGTCTTCCTCCTTCATCTATTATCCCTCCCTCACCCCACCTGTCACCTCCTTTGCTTTATTCCTTGGAAGTCTGGAATCTTGGCAGGATGGATGAAGGGCGAGGGGGCAAGGAACGTGGGAAGGCCAGGGCTTGGCTCCTTGGGACCTCTCCCGCCCTGAGAACGCCAAGGCCAAGACCAAGGCCTGGGCGGGCAGGCGGGCAGCCGCCATGCTTCATTTGCAGACGTAGCGCTCCACGATCCTCTCACACTTCTTACAGGTTACGTAGCAGCACCAGTGGTATTTACAGTGACATCTTTCCACCACCTTGTCCATGTACGGGTTGTAGCCTCGGCCGCAGCACATGAGGTCGCAGCTGTCACTGCCGTTGGACGTCTTGTTACACTGTCTGAGGTGAGGAGGGGGAGGAGAGAGAAGCAGAGGGGCTCTGGTGAGGACCTCGCTGATTCACAAGCCGTGGTCTGAGAAGGGGACGCAAGCCTGCCCCCCTGGGATGCCCAGTCTGAAGCAGAGACCCAGACCCCTTCTCTCCATGGCCTCCCACAGGACAGTCCGCCTCAAGTCCCAGCTCAAATCCCACCTTCTACAAGAAGCCTTCCCCCGGCCCTCTTAATTCCAGTGCCTTCCCTCTGAGCAATCTTTTCTGTTTGGCTTGTGTGTGGTTTCTTTGTATATGTTGTCACCTCCATTAGTTTGTGAGCTCCTCAAGGGCAAGGACTGTCTTTCCCCTTTCTTTTTATCTCCAGCACTTAGCACAGTGCCTGGCATACAGTAAGCGCTTAATTAATGTTTATCGATGGACTTCCTGTCCATGGACTTTCTGTCTATGTGTTGCGTATACTTGGAAGCTCTTTAAGGGCAAAGGCTTTCATTTTTGTCTTTGGATTCCCAGTGCTTGGCACACAGTAGGCACTTAATAAATGCTTATTTAAAAAAAAATTTTAAATGCTTGTTTGGTAATGGATCGATTTAAGAGAAGTAGTCCCAGGGGCAGCTAGGTGGTGTAGTGAATAGAGCTCTGGTCTTGGAGTCAGGAGGACCTGAGTTCAAATCCGACCTCAGACACATGACACTTACTAGCTGGGTGACCCTGGGCAAGTCACTTAACCCCGATTGCCTCACAAAAAAAAAAAAAAAGAAGTGGTCCCTGACCTCAGAGAGTCCTGATTAGTGTCAAGGAGCAGGGTAAGCAAAGCCCCTCTTGCCAGGGATCCTGTTGTCTAAGGGAAGAGACAGCCAAAGAGCTGTCCAAGGTCACCCAGAAAAGTTCTATCATTTACTGTCTGCGATGTTATACATTTGATCTTGGATATTCCGGTAGGAAGAGGCCTGGGAGAAAGATGGATGACACCTCCCCCAAGCTCAGTAGACTAAACATTTGGGCAGCAGCAGGGATGAGTAGGGAGAGCTAGTTTTGGCATTTGGCCACAATTCTTCCCACACTTGCCAACACCCATGCCCCCAGGGAGAGAAATGACAGAAATGGGAGTGGGTTTTGTCATAGTGCACTGGAAATCTAATAGGAAAGAATGCAGGGATCCAAGTTCCAGCGGGGACTCATGGTGTAACTGTAGGTAAGTCATGGTACCTCGCTGGGCTTCATCATTGTGAAATGGGAAGGAAAATTTCTGTCCTGGTTGCCCTCCCCAGTTTGTTGAAAGTATCAAGGAATGTCAGATCTGGAAGGGACTTTGGAACATAGAATGTCAGAGCTAGAAAGGATTCTAGAGCATGTATCATTGAAACACAGAATGTTGGAGCTGGAAGGACCCCTGAGAACACAAAATACCTGATCTGGAAAGGTCGTTCAGAGCCTAGGTGTCAGATCTGGAAAGGACCTAGGAACATAGAACGTCGAGCTGGAAAGGATTCCAGAGTATGTAACATCAGAACTCAGAGCTGGAGGGGACTTTGCAATAAAGTATATCTGAGCTGGAAGGGAGCTTCAGAGCCTAGAACCTGAGTATTGAACTGTGCCTTAGAATGTCAGAGTCAGAAAGGATTCTACAGCACATGGCATGAGAATATAGAATGTTACAGGTAGAAGGAACTTTAGAATGAATCATGTCTGTCCGGAAAGGAACCTTAAAAGCCTAGGATGTTGGGGACAAAAGGAACCTAACCACATAGAATGTCGTAGCTTAGAACCTTGAAGATCACATAGAAAGTTTGAGTTGGACAGTATCTCAGCACACAAAATGACTAGGAATAGAAGGCATCTTAATTTCTTAATTCCCATCACCTACCAAGTTTTCCTCTTCCCCACCTCACATGCTCCCACAACCCTGGCCAAGCATAACACCCCGCTGATAGGCCTCAAAGAAGAGTCCCAGTCTGAGGAAGAAGATAGAGGGAAAAGAGTAGGATCCAGAGAAGGCAGCCTCGCTGCAGCCCAGTTTATGATGGAACTGGAGAGTGTGGGGTGGGAGCACGGGGTGAAGAGACACCTTCTCTGTTCTCTGTTCTAAGGTCCCATGCAGATCTGACGCTCTAAGATTTCCACAATTGTTTTTCCAATCAGCCATCCACCATCCCTCACATGTGTATGGTGTTTTATAGTTTCCGCAGTGATTCCTCATGAATTATCTCATAAATCCTGACACCTGGTCTACACGGCCAAGAACAATCCTGCTGCACCCATTATACACAGCCAGGGAGAAAGTGGAATCCACCGACAAACAGTGCCTAGAGCTGGATATGGGAAAACCCATTTGCTCTGTTTGCCAGAGCTGACTGAGGACAATTGCATAAGATGAGGCAGCCCTGCTCAGTGGAAAGACCCTTGGGTTTAGGGCGAGAAGGGACCTTCGGGGTCACCTAGTCTGGCCTCCTCGTTTTGCAGGGGAGCACCACACCAAGATCCAGAAAGAGGAAGCGATTTGCCCCAAAGTCACACAGGTAATAAATAGGTATCAGAGGTGGGATTTGAACCCACACCTTCAGACTTCAAACCTGACACCCTTTTCTACTGCCTCAGTGCTCTGACAAGGAATTATGACACAAGTCCCTTTTTCCTCTCAGCATCTCCATTTCTCCGCTTGTTAATGGAGGGGTTTGGACTCAAAGGTCTTCTAAGGCACTTCCCACCCTGATATTGTCTGATTCTGTCCATACTCCCAGCAGCTGATTGAGGAGGGGAGGGGAATGGCAGCTGAGAGCCGGGGAGAAACCTGATATCTCTCCTTCATGGTCCCCCCCCCCCCCAGCCTGGTAATGGGATCCAGGAGAGCCTTTATTTCCCCAGGGGACCCTAACCCATTTCCCTTCTGGCTTCTCCTCTATCCAGACACCCTCCTCCTCTTCTTCTCATTTCCCTCTCTGCCTGTGTAGCTCCAGGGGTTGCCTGAAGCCAGCATTTCCTGAACTGACATTCTTTTAGTCTCCTGGCAGCTCGTTCCTCTCTCCTCTCCGATCCTTGCAATCTGGTGTCCATATGGGAATACTGGCCATCCCAGGGGTCTGCTGCTCTTTGGGGAAGCTGCAGAGGCTACAATCACAGAATGTCAGAGGGGTCTTAGAACCTAGAACGTCAGAGCTGGGAGGGCCCTGAGAACACGGAATATCAGAGCTTGGAGGGCCCTTAGAACACAGAATGTCAGAGCTGGGAGAGAACTGAGAACACAGAATGCCAAAGCTGGAAAGGCCCTTAGAACACAGAATGTCAGAGCTGGGAGGGCCCTTAGAACACAGAATGTCAGAGCTGGGAGAGAACTGAGAACACTGAACATCAGAGTTGGGAGGGAACTGAGAACACAGAATGTCAAAGCTGGAAAGGCCCTTAGAACACAGAATGTCAGAGCTGGGAGAGAACTAAGAACATCGAATGTCAGAGTTGGGAGGGAACTGAGAACACAGAATGTCAAAGTTGGAAGAGATCTTAGAATACAGAATAGCAGAGCTGAGAGGAGGCTCAGAACATAGAATGTCAGAGCTCACACACACCTCAGAATACATACTGTCAGATTTGGGTGGGGCCTTAAGACATAGAATGTCAAAGCTGGAAGGACTCAAGCAGTTCTCATCTACTCTTCATTTTACAGACGAGGAAACTGAGGCTTAGATTGGGAGAAGTGAATTATTCCAAGTCACAGCGTGGCAGAGCAGGGACTAAGGCATCTGGGTTTGAGGTGCTTCTCATTGCATCATGCCACATTTGGAGTTTCACAGAATACCTGGGTTCTTGCCCTGGCTCTGCCCCTGCCTGGTTCTGTGACTTTGGTTAAGTCCCTTCCCTTGTTTTGGCCTCAGTTCCCTCTGATGTTGGACCAGATGTTCTCCAAGGTCCCCTTCAGCTCCCAAAACCTGTGTTCAGTGAGCCTGGAGGAAGTCATTTTGGGTCTTAACTAAAAGCTACCAATCATCCTTTAGTCTGTGGGGAGTGAACGTATGAACTCAGTCCTTGGATGCCGGTACAAGTTCAAGAAAAGTTTAGATAAATTAACGGATGACAGATTTCTGACAGCTCGTTAAGGGAAGCTAGGAATGTTTGGAGTCTGGAAGAACTACCCAGGCCTCCCCCTACCTGCCTCTTGGCATTCCCAGGGGTTGGGGCATCCCTGAGTCCTGAGGCACCCTGCTGATGGGGATCTTGCTGGAGAGCTGCTGGTTTGCGAGCAAAGCGGGGGGACTGGGAAACTTTTAAATTCTAAGGTTGTTTCTTGGTCATTCTTAGACTTAACACCCTTAGTGCAAAATGTAAAATTCAGCACTTAGGTTCAAAAAATCAATTGGCTAAGAACAAGGTGGGGGGAAGGAGCTAGGCAGAAATGCCTGTGGAAAAGATCTAGGCAGTGTAAGTCTGGTGACAGACTTTGTAATTATCCAGCTAAATGTGGAGAGGCCTACCACTAGAAGTTGGTCACAGAAGAATGAATTTTTCAGTCACAGAAACTCAGGAAGACGGTCTGCCAAGGTACAGCATAGGCAGCTTGACGCTTCAGTGAACAGGGCACTGACTCCAGGGAGTCAGGGAGACCTGAGTTCAAATTCTGCCTCTAGCGGTATTACCCTGGGCAAGTCATTTCAGTTGCCTGCCTCAGTTTCCTTATCTGCAAAAGGAGGATAATAATAGTGCCTACATCCCAGTGCTATTGTTGTGAGGATAAAGAAAGTGAGATGATATTTGTAAAATACTTTGCAAACCTTAAAGTGATATACAGATGCTAACGATTATTATTGAGATGTAAGTGGAGAATTCCCCAGTGGATCAAATTATGGATTCTTGAAGTAGTGAAATAATATAATTCACTTCTTCCAGGAGTATAGAATTGTATGACACAGGAGAATGGCAGCTTTAGAGACCACTGAATGTAGTCTCCTCATTTTGAAGATAAGAAAAATAAGACCCCTCAGCCCCCCAGAGAGTAAAAGATTTGCCCAAGCCCAGTCACTGGGTTTAGTAGCAGAACCCCAGAAAGTCAGATCTGGAAGGGCAGAAGGAGGACACTGCTAGACTTGCACTCAGAAGACTTTTGTGGCTTACTCCCTGTGTGAGCTTGGACAAGTCACTTAACCTCTCTGAGACTCAGTTGCCCCATCTACAAAATAAAGGGGACTTTATGATACATAAGGTCCTGTCTAGGTCTAAATCTATGATCTCCTGACCTTCACTTAACAGATGGAGAAACTGAAGCCCAAGAAATGAAGACTTGCTCAAGATCCCATGTCTGCTGCCTCTTCCTCACTGGATAACCCTTCTCTGTGCCTCAAGTTTCCCATCTATAAAATGGGGGCAATCAGACTAGATGGTCTCCATCTAGGCCTTTCTAGCTTGGATATTATATTACTAAGATCTCCTGCAGCTCTGACTTGGTATGTGTTTTAAAAATCACTTGTCATCGCCTGATCCTCCCAAACCCCTGGCCCCCACACGCAGGTGAGATCAGATTATCCTGAGTATCCAAGGCAGCCTTTCTAGAAACCATCAAAGGGAAACGGTGGGGGGGGGCACCCTAACTTTCTTCCTGCTTGGCTGAAGTCAGGGGGAGTGCTCGTACTCTTCACCCAGAATCCACAGAATGGAAGAGGTGGAAGGGGCCTTACAGACCACCTAATCAGATCCTCATTTTATGGAGGGGGAAGTAGGCCCAGGAAGGAGAATAGACCAGGTGTTCAAACTTTCAGCCCAGGACTCTTTCCACCATGGCGCCACATGGATAATTCATTCCTCTGGGGCCTTTCAATACTTTTACAGAGCACTGACCCTTTAACACTGTGCGTAGATAGTATAGGGATTATTTTTTTCCCATTTCATAAATGGGGAAATAGAGGCTCAGGTGGGGAAGTAATCTACCCAAGGTCATCCAGCTGGTAAGAGTCACAGGTGGGATCTGAACCCAAGACTCTTGACTCCAGGGCTGGAACTTTTGCTACTATATTGCCTCTTATGAGACAGCAAAGGGAGCTCTGTGGGGACTGGCTGCGCCTGTCACTGCATAGAAACCTCCCCCGTCTATCCCTTTGGGAAGAGCTCCCCAAGAGAGAGAAACAAAGCCAAGAACGGTGATGGGAGAAGCCAAGGGACGTGAGAAAATGCAACAAGTGGGATCCAAGCCACGGGAGTGCACTGGGCCAGCTCTCTGGGGGGCAGATGTGTCAGTAGAGACTTCCAAGGATTCAGCTGCATTCTGGTGATGGGAGTGGTGGTGAGAAAAGGGGGCCCAGACATGGCCCTGGGAAATGATGGTTCCCTAAGACCTGGCCTAAAGATGGTGAGAAGCTGACCCCTTCACTGTCCTTACCATTACACACCTAGACTCTGGAGGACCCTGAACCTGTGTTTGGAGAAACCACATGGTATGAGAAGTAATGGGAGATACCAGGAAAATTCCTGGACTAGGGAATCAGGACATAAGAGTCCTCACATGGGCTCTGCCCCTGATGCATTGTGGGATCCTGGGGCAGCACCTTCTCTTCTAAGCCTCAGTTCCCTCAACTATAAATGAGGGTGCGTTGGACTAAATGGTGTCCCCACTTTGTGCTCTGAGGGGCCTTTCAGCTCTGTCCTTCTGATTTCTAAGGCTCCTTCCAGCACTAACAGTCTGCATTTTAAAGAAAATGGGTATTGTGGAAACAGCCCTGGTTTTGGAGTCAGGAGAGACAGATTCAGATTCTGGCTCTGCCTCTTATAAGGTGTGTGTCCTTAGGTAAGTCATATAACCTCCATTTCTCCACTTCCACATCTGTAAAATGGGAGTAACAATAACCTGTTGTGAGGATAAAACAAAGCAGCGTGGGAAAGAGGAACGAACACTGAATTTTTAGTCAGGAGACCTGTGTTCTAAGTTCATTTCTGGTCTTGAAGAATTTATCCCACTCCTCTCGGCCCCAATGTCCTAATCTATAAAATGAAAGGGTTAGAGTTAGACCAACTGATAATTAAAGGTCCCTTCTATCTCAAACATTCTATGTTTTGAAATCTTTTCAAATTTTGATATTTTATGTTTTAGATATAATAATCTATGCTCTCAGGACCTTCTTAGAACCCATGTTCTAAGGTCCCTTCCAGTTCTAATATTCTTTGTTCAATATCTTACAGTCTCCTTCAGTTTTGATTTTCTATATCAGAAGGTCCTACCTGGTTCTCCCATTTTCCATTCTATGTTCTGAGGTTTCTTTGGATGTGACCTCTTATCTACTACATCCCAAGGTCCTTTTGGCCTCTGGTGGTCCATAAATACCAGATTTATCCAGGGCCTCCTCTATTTAATGATATACCTTTTGCATTTAACATCCCAGTACTTCTAGAGGTTGACAGTAGCCAGGATAATCCAAATATAGCAGAATCATTAAACCATTCTTTTTGAACTAGGAAACTATTAGGAAGTTTTTATCTGTATCACCTTTTATGACTGGGAACTAGGTGGCACAGTCGATAGAGTGCTGTATGGTGTGGGAAGATCTGAGTTCAAATTCTGCCTCAAGCACACTTGCTAACTGTACATAATAATAATAGCTAATATTTATAGAACATCTTAAGGTTTGCAAAGCCCTTTAAATGTATTATTTCTTTTGATCCTCATAATAACTTTCTGAGATAAGTTTGTTGCAAGTATTATTACCATCACCATTTTATTAATGAGGAAAATTGGGGTCAGAGAAGTTAAAATACCTGCCTGTGTTCCCATAGCTAGTAGGTTTCTGAGAAGGAATTTGAACAAGTAGTTATTCGGGTTCTAGTGAAGGCCCTCCATCCAAGCAAAGTTCCTTTCTTCCCTAGGAGGCTCATTCTGCTCTGGGACAGTTTTTTCCATTACCCTAGGATGAAGACCCTACTTTGTGTAAAGCAAGGTACTAGGCACTGAGGGGAAACATACTTTGGATCTGGGGGTCCCTTGCCCCCAGAGAACTCATGGCTAGTAATGGGTCAAGACCCCCCAAGACAGAGAACTACACTCCAGAGTAACGCCCAATCCCCAGCCCCTGCCTTACCTGTCCTGTGTCCCGTGGGAGCCCACCTTCTCGTTCTTCATGCAGAAGTCGGGGGAGCTCTGCAGGTAGATCAGCTCTGTGTCCTGGACGGGCCGAATGTCCAGGTCCTTGGGCACCAGGTGTTTCCGGTTGCCCATGGGTCGATGCACCACCTTGGTGGCTGACAGGTATTTGGTCTTGAGGTCCTGGGCCACATCTCGAAGCTCCTGCAGCCCCTTCCAGCAAGTCTTGATGGAGCAAGAGCCAGAGACTCCATGACATTTACACTTCATCTCTAGGGATGCTCTCAAGGCCTGTGGGAGGCAGGGAGGAAGAGGCTGTGCTTTAGACGGGGAGATGGCGGCAGAGTATCTCCTTATATAGCCAGTCTGCCTCTCTTCAATCAAATGAGGTCATATTGCTAAAGCACTTAGCACAGTGCCTGGCACATAGGAGGCATTTAATAAACACTTGTTTCCTCCCTCCGCCTTCCTCCTCCACACTCATCAAAGAAGAGCATTACTATGGTCATCGTGTATCTTCACTCCTAGCTTGTGTCTCTTTTTCTTCCCCCTCTGCAACCCCAATAATATCACCAGCTCCAATTTCTACAGTGCCGAAGGTTTACAGGAAGGCTTGGGTTCAAGGCCTGCCCCTGTTACATACTGGCTGAATGACCCTGAGCAAATCATTTAGGCCCTCAGCATAACTCTCTAAGACTATTAGTGGTAGAGCAGGTACCACACTGTATTAGTAGAGGAATTTCCTCACCCAGGAGTTCCCTCTATTAATGAAATCCCAAATCCAATCCTTATCTCTACCCCTTTAGCTTTTATAATACTCTTTCCTCACAGCAAACTGGCTGTGGGGATGAAGAAAGGATTATCATGTCCATTTTAATGGATGGGGAAACTGAGGAAGGCCTAGAGACAGGAGTGATCTGCCCAAGGCTACACAGTGGTCAGCAGTGGTTTGCTTTATGTCATTCTGACTCTCCCTGCTGGAAAAACAGCCCTGCTCCAACTAGCATGTACATCTCAGCCCATAAAGGTGAACTTGTCTCAGCCCTTTCCAGCCATGCAGAGCTGCTACGGGAGAGAAGTGGGAATGAATCATAGACTCACAGGCCCAGAGGGACCGTCTAGCCCAACGCCCTCAAATTACTGAGGAAATTGAGGCCAGGAGAAGGGAAATGTTTTTTCCCCAGGTCACAGAATTTATTAGTGGAAGAATTAGGTCTAAAAATAAAGTTTTCTGATTTCTGGTGCTCTTTCTATGACATGATGAAAATAAACGTGAAAGCATTTAGAACAAGGTTTTCTTTTAAAAATTATGAATTTTGACTACTAATTTTACAAAAATTAGAAATTTAAATTATAAATCTTATTAAAATAATAAACTTTGATCATAAATTCATTGAATAAAATGAATAAAAATCATAAATAAAGAAAAATTATAACCTTTTATTTTAAATTTTATTTAAAATTATAAATTTTAATTATCAATTTTAAAAATTATAATTGTGAGGTATTGGGAAAGGCATCAGATTAAGTGTCTTAGAGACCCTACTATAACTCTGTCACCAACTCTCTGAGTCTAATCCAACTTTTCTATTTACTAGTGGTGTGACCTTATCACTTCTGCTCTCTGAGCCTCGGTTTCTTCTTCTGTATTAATAATAATAATAGCTAGCATTTAAATAGAGCTTTAAGGTTTGTAAAGGTTTTTACACATATTATTTTATTTGACCCTCATAACAACCTGGGGAAGGAGTGCTATTTTTATCCTCATTTTAGAGATGTGGAAATTGAGATGCAAAGGGGTCAGATGACTTGCCCAGGGTGTCATTCAAGACACTTAAGTCAGTGTTTGAAACAAGATGAAACTCCAAGTCTAACCTTCTAAACACTGCACTACCTGGCTGACTATAAAATAAGAGGATTAAGCCGATGATCTCAAAGTCCCTTCCAGTTCTGACACTCTATGTTCCAAGGGTCCTTCCAGTTCTGACATTCTATGGCCTAAGGTCTTGCCCTAGTTCTGTGACATTCTATGTTCTACGGTCCCTTCCAGCTTTGACATTCTTCATTCTAAGGGCCCTTTCAGTTCTGATGACATTCTGTGTTTTAAGGCCCCTTCCAGTTCTTATATTCTATGTTCTAAGGACCCTCCCAGCTCTGACATTCTCTGTTCTAAGGTCCCTTTCAGTTCTAACATTCTGTGTTCTAATGTCCCTCAAAGCTCTAACATTCTCTGTTCTAAGGACCCTCCCAACTCTGATATTCTGTGTTCTAAGATTCCTCCCAACTCTGACCTTCTCTGTTCTAAGGTCTATCCCCGTTCTGACATTTTATACTCTAAAGCCCCACTCAGCTCTTTTATGTTCTAAGATCTTTTCTAACTTAGACATTTTCACATTCTGTGGATTTTACAATTAAAACAAAGGGAAAAGTTCTTCTGAAGTCAATGTGATTCTCCCACCTTCATTAAGTAGAGCTACCAACTTCAGGGAGTGAATGGGAAAAGCCCGCCTGCTCTGGCACCTGCTTCAGACTAAGACATGACGGCACATATCTAGGATGATCTTAAGCCCAGTGGTGCCAAACTCAAATAGAAATTGGGGGCGGGGAGGACACTAAACTGTACATAAGGATCCCTGGGGGCAGTGTGTTGACTTAGAAAACCACATTCTACGATTCATCATTCTATTGTATTTCCATTTATTTTGTTAAATATTTCCCAATTGCATTTTAATCTGTTTCAGCACTCCAGCGTGTTGTGGGGGGCACACCTTTGGGCCTCACGCTCTCAGGTTCATGTTGGACACCTCTGCTCCACCCCACCAGAGAGTGGAAAACATGGTTTCACAGAACCCCAGAGTTGATGGGAGTTCAGAGCTAGTTTAGTCAGGGAATCCAAGATGTAGAACTGAACCTAGATCTGGAGCTAGAACTCAGAATCTCTAGTTCAATTTCCTCATTTCAAGGTAAGGAACCTGAGGCCCAGGGCAATGGAGCAGTTTGACACAGGGCCACACAGCAGAACCAGGATTCAAACTCAGGTCTTCTGATTTCAAATCCAATGAACTTTCTATTATTAGATCTCATTTCTATGGCCCTTTGAAGCTTATAGAACTTTTTTTTTTTTTCCAGCAGCCCCATCAAGAAGGCAGGGCAAGCATTCTTAGTCCAATTTTACAGGTGAAGTAATTGACTGGAGGAGTTAAGCTCATTCTCACTTATTCCAAAAGCATTTATTAAGTGCTAAAAAGTGCTGGGACTGGGGCTGGAGGTAAAGAAGGGTATGTGTGTGCACAAAAATAATGAATCTTTCCTTATCCTTAAGGAGCTGACAAGCCATTGGAGCCACCCAGATTGTCCATCAGTGGCAATTAGAGCAGATGCCCTACTCCCACTGCATGGGTCAATTTCCCAGTGCCTCCAGATCAGAAGATTTGGGAGGTCCAAGCACCCTCCCTGCAGCTGGCTAAAGTCTGGGAGTGGTGCGGGAGAGGTGAAAGGACTGGATTCAGGCCTTAGCTACTTTCTCTTTCTCCAGTCTCCTGGGGCTAAAGGGACCAGGATTCTGGCCAGGGAAACCCACAGCTCTTTGGCCTCAGGGAGAATAATAAACTATTAACATTTTAATCAAGCTTCAAGGATTACAAGGCACTTTCATCTCAGTGAGCCAGCTAGGGTATTACTGACAGATGAGGACATTGAGACCACAAAAGAGAAAATGACTCAGCCGAGGTGACTTATCCTAGATGATACAGCTTATTCATAAATTTCAAGAGCTGAGGTTTCAGCCCAGATGCTCTAACACCAAAGCCAGGGCTCCTTCTAAGTTTTCACCTACTCATAAAGCATAATATACTGTATTATGCCCGGGTGGCTCCCCATGGTTTTCTGAGGTCACTACTGTTTAATCACAGGCACTCCTAGACCATCCCCTCAGTTTAGGAAGTCCCCAGAGTGGCAGACAAAGAGGCCAGCTCTTAGGTACCTATGTTCACTGCAGATAATACGGATACACTAAAGCGATTGAACTTATGCCCTTGTCAACTAAGTTGAGGCACTCAGAATCATAAAATTTTAGAGGCTGAATGGAGCTTAGAACAGAACCCAGAATGTCAGAGATGGAAAGGAGCTTAGAACATAGAATTTCAGAGATAAAAGAAACTTCAGAACATAGAATATCAGCTGGAAATTATCTAGAACATAAAATGTTAGAGCTGAGAGAGTCTTTGGAACATAGAATATGAAAGCCTGAAGAGACCTTAGAACACAGAATGTCAGAGTTGGGAGGGACCTTAGAACACAGAATGTCAGAGCTGGGAGGGACCTTAGAACACAGAATGTCAGAGCTGGGAGGGACCTTAGAACACAGAATGTCAGTATTGGGAGGGACCTTAGAACACAGAATGTCAGAGCTGGGAGGAACCTTAGAACACAGAATGTCAGTATTGGGAGGGACCTTAGAACAGAGAATGTGAGCTGAAGGGGACTTTAAGAACATAAACTATCAGAGTTGGAAAGGAGCTTAGATCACAGAATGTCAGAAATGGAAGGCACTTGAGAGCACAGAATGTCAGGGCTGGGAAGAACCTGAGAACGCAAAAATGTTAAATGTGGAAGGAGTCTTGGGACTTTTTTTGTTGTTCAGTCACGTCCGCCTCTTCATGACCCCATTTGGGGTTTTCTTGGCAAAGATACTGGAGTGGATCCAGCTCATTTTACAGATGAGGAAACTGAGGCAAACAGAGGTTAAGTGACTTGCCCAGGATCATTCAGCTAGCAGCTATCTGAGGCCAATTTGAACTCAGGTCTTCTTGATGCCAGGGCTGGCTCTCTATCCATTGTGCTACCTAGCTGGCCACACACATAGACCCTAGAAGAGACTGTAGAACATAGCGTGTCAGGATTGGAAGATCTTAAGATCATCATCAGATTGTATATTTTGAGGTGGAAGGGACCTCAGAGGTCAAATACTCCAGTCCCTGGACCCTCTTATTTGATAGGTGAAGAAACTGAGGCCCAGGGACTTTGTGTTTTACCAGAGGGCAAACAGGTGGTAAGTGGCAGGGCTGAGATTTGAACCCACACTTTCTGAGCTCAAATCCAGAACACCGAATATTGGAGATGGAAGGGACCACAGCTAATGAAGCAATGGTTCCCACCCTGTGAACCACAGACCCCTGGAGGACCTTGGAGTCACTGCGAGGCACCTAGCACGGAGAGATTCTGGTAGTGCTACTAGAATGTGGGGGGAGGGTCCGGGAAGCTTCTTGGCATTAAAAAGGGTCCTCACACTTAAGAAGGTTGAGAAGCACTGACCAACGACCAAGAATATTAGAGTTGGAAGGCACCTGAGGGGCAGTCTAGTCTCAACTGCCTCATGTTATAGGGGATGAGACTGTGAACCCCGAGAGTGGCTGCGCTGACCTTGCCCCCGATCCAACAGGGTCGGGGGAGACAGGCCTTCAGGCCCAGTCTCCTGACTACCTACCAGCACCTGGCTCTGGCCTCCTCCTCCCCCCGGGCCTCCCCAGCCCTGTCCCTGCCCCAGAGGCTGACTGCTGGCCCATTGTCTGGAACCAGTCCCTAGCAGCAGACGAGCAGCAGCAGTACCCAAGCACAACACCCGCCCTGGGGGGGAGAGGGAGGGAGGGGGGAGGTGACGGGCAGGGGGGAGGGGCTGGTTACCTGTCTCCCTACTTCGCTGTTGTGAAGGTGCATCAGCTTATTGGCCTGGGATCCTGTTTTTTTCACCTTCATGGGAGCGTCTGAAAATTTGGCCCCCATGAGGAGACCGTAGTTGAGGTTGTCAGCACATCCTCCCCATCGGTACCCGGGCCCAGGTGTCTCACCTGGGACGGGGCCACAGGAACAGCCAGGAAGGTCCCCAGTGGTGCAGGCCCTGGCGATGGTATGGCTGATGGCAGCGGCAGAGAGGGCATACACGAAGGCAGACTCCCTCGTCCCTGTAAGAAAGAAGGGGGATGAGTGAGGGGCAATGCAGGGGGTGCATGGGAAGGGCCACGATAATGGCCCCAGGGCCTGACTTTGGCATGGCATGGCATGGCACGGAGGAAGAGGCATGAAAACTCAGGCAGGGATGGTGCCAGCAAAGCCCAGACAGCATGGTCTTGAGAAAGAAAAGCCCTGGATTTGAACCTGGGTTCAAACCCTGACTCCGCTACTTACAGCCATGTATGACCCTGGGCAAGGCTAAAAGACCTGGGGATGTCCAGCCTGGAGGAGACCAGACTAGGGGATACGGGATCGTTGTATTCAAGTATTCCAGGAGCTGATATATGGAAGAGGGATTGAGTAGAAACGACATGACTCCAGGAAGCCAGGGGGGGCTCACTACCTTGTAAAGTAGTTAGCTCAATTCAAGCCAATATTTATTGAGCCTACGATGGTGTGGGAGGCAGAAGGGCTTAGCAGATCAAGGGGCTGCCTTGGTGTAAGGAAGCCCTAGTTTCCAATAATCCTGCCTCTCACAAATGCTGTCTGCCTTTCACTCCTCTAGAGGCTCCATTCATGACTGGTCTGGACTTTCTCTACCATGCCACAGAAGCCTCCTCACTTTGGAAGTAAGTTCACTCTGCCCCTGCAGCCCCTTCCTCAGACTGGCTGGTCTGTCCCAGAATCTCCATTTTAAGGGAAACGCCCAGCTCATCTACACTTTCCTCTCTCTCCCGTCTTCACTCATGACTCTCAGGAGCAGTTTCTCCACCCCTGCTCTAGACTTTCTTTACCATTCCCCAATACAAGTCGCTCCCCACCTCCAACTTTTTCAGTTCCTTCTATGTGTCTTCTCCCATTAGAATGTAAGCTCCTTGAGGGCAGGGGCAGTCTTTATGCCTATATTTGTCTTCCCAAGTCTTAGCACAGTGCCTAGCCTGTTAAATCCTGCTCGACTTGACTTGACTTGACTGGGCAAGTCAATTAACCTGGGTGACAGACTAAGACTTAAGTTTCAGAACAGCGGCTGATCAGCACTGGTGGAGAGAGGAAGCACAGGCAGGGACACCACCACCACCCCTACCAATGTAAGATTTTAGTCTTTGCTCTCAACAAGCTTACAATCTACTGATGAGATACAATGCAGACAGAAAAGCATAACGCAGGGTAGGGGTGAAATAAAGGAAAAGAGAGATCAGACAAAGTGACCTAGAAACACATGAAAAGGGAAAGAGCTCTAACTCTGGGCTGGGGGATGGTATGGAGGCAGAGGTGCAGGGGAGAGGGGAGAGGAGGGGGAGAATCAGGGAGGTCTTCATGGAGGAGGTGCCACCTGAGCTGAGCCTTGATGGAAAGTTAACGATTCTGAAAGGCAGAGACAAGGAAGTATACTCTAGGAAGAGCTTGTGTAAATGTTTGGGAGGTGGTATGCTGAGTTCCAAGAACAGCCAGTAGCAATCCAATTTGGCTGGAATATGGATGGGAATAATGTGAAATGAGGTTGGAAAAGTAGATTAAAGTCAGACTGTGAAGGGCTTAAGAAAGCCAAGCTACAAAGTTTGCATTTTGCTCAAACAGAAAAGGGAACCACTGAAGTATTTTGAATATTGTTGTTACAGTTATTGAGTCGTTTTAGTCATGTCTGGCCCTTATTGACCCCATTTGGGGTTTTCTTCACAAAGACATAGGAATGGTTTACTATTTCCTTCTCCAGCTCATTTTACAGATGAGGAAACTGAGGCAAAGAGGATTAAGTGACTTGCTCAGGGTCACATAGCTAGTTAGTGTCGAGGCTGGATTTAAATTCAGGTTTTTATGACTCTAGGCAGGGCGCTCTATCCACTAGATAATCACCTAGATTATCTTCCCAACTTCAAGGATAGATTGGAAGGGGAGACACTGAGGATGCAAGCAGAGATGCCTATTAAAAGGCTATTACATGAAGTATAATTTTTCACTTTATTTTTCTTGCTTTTTTTGTAGCACAGCTATTATGGAAATATGTTTCACGTGATTTCACATGTATAATTGATATCATATTGCTTGCTTTCTCAGTGGGCAGGGGAGGGACTAAAGGGAGAGAGAATTTGGAACTTAAAAAATTTTTTTTAAAGAATGTTAAAAAATAAATTTTATATATCTATCTATCTATCTATCTATATATATCTATATATATGTAATATGCTATTATATAGTCCTAGCCAGTGATGAGGGACTGAACTGGGATACTGACCACATGAGTGGAAAGAAGAGGACAGTGTCAAGAGATGTCTTGGAGGTATAATCACCAGGATTTAACAGGATTGGATATGGAGATGAGGGATCCTTCCCCATCTAGAGATTAGAACCAAGGGAAGAGTCAAAGAAGGGGTGGGGAATCTGTGGCCTCGAGGCCACATGGCCTTTGACTGAATCCAAACTTCACAGTTCACATAAAATCCTTTTATTAAGAGGATTTGTTCTGTGAAGTTTGGATCCAGTCAAAGGGCAGTACTTGAGGACCTAGAGGGCCACATGTGGCCTCGAGGCCTCAGGTTCCCCACCCCTGGTCAAAGATGACTCTGAGGCTATCAATCCAAGTGACTGGGAGGGTACCTCAGCCTCAATTTCTTTATCTGTAAAATGGAGGATTGGACCAAATGTCCTCTAAGATCTCTTTTGATTCTGTGTCTATGGTCTGGTGATCCTCTGATGCCTTCCACAGAGGTAAGAGAGTTTTCAGGCATCAAGGATTTCGGGAGGAAGGATGATGATTTCTGTTCTGGACATGTTGAGTTTCAGATGTCCGTGGGACATCCAGGTGGAGACAACTGGAGATGCAGAATCGGAGTTTAGGGGAGACATTAGAACTGGCTCCCCTGACCCAGTAGTCATCTGCATAGAGATGAGAATTGAAGCCATGAAATCCGATGAGATCACCAAAGGAGAGAGTGAGAAGAGAAGAGGCCCCCCATTCCAACAACTGAAGCCCACGCTTAGTGGGTGGGAAAGATGATGATCCAGTGGAGGAGATGAGCAACGAACAGTCTGACGGATAGGAAGAGAGCCAGTGTCATAGGAATCAAAGGCAGATAGGTTCTCTAGCTCCTTAAAGGTCCTCCCAGTGAAACATCTCTGGAATCTGTCCCATCCTTTCCATTCCCACGGATACAGTTCTTTACCCCTACCGGGGATGTTAGGATATTATAACAGCCTCCACTCCTTTCTCTCTACAATCCATCCTTCATGGCATTACCTGGTTTTCTTATGCATAGAACTGACCATGTCACGCTCCTTTGCTCAAAAATCTGCAGTGGCTCCCTCTTGCCTACCCAGTAGTGTTTCACCTCTCTTTTCTTTCCTATTTAAAGCCTTCTGAAACCCTCCTGCTTTATCTCATTTTATTCCCTCCTAGTTAAGCCTCTGCTCTATCCAAGAATGGGGTAGTCAAAAGTGTCAAAAGCTGCTGAAAGGTCAAAGAGGAGTGCTAACCATTGGAGTCAGCAGTTAAGAGGCTGTTGGTGACCTGGAAGAGAGAAGTTTCAGTCAAGTGGAAGGGTCAGAGACCAGACTGCAAAGGACTGAGTAAGAAGCAAGGGGGAAGATGAGAAAGTGGAAATGTTGAGTATAGATGATTCTTTCCAGGATTCTTCCAATGAAAGACAAGAGAGATATGGGATGATAGTTGGAGGGTTTGGCACCAGAGGGTCAAGCAAAAGCTTTTTTAAAGATAGTAAAGACTTAAACATATTTAGAAGTAATGGAGAAAGAGCTCATAGATGAGAGAGAGAGAGAAGGAGAGAGAAGGAGAGAGAGAGAGAGAGAGAGAGAGAAGAAGTGATTCATGGGATAGCATTTATTAAGCATCTCCTGAGTGCCAGGCTCTATGCCAAGCATTGGTGATACAAAGATGACCCAAAATAATATTATCTGCCTTTGGGAAACTTCTAATCTAGCCAGTGTGGGCAATGGTGCTGGAAAAAAGTACAAATTTGGGGAGAAAATTAACAAGGTCAATTTGGGGCATAGGATCATAGCTCCAGAGCAGAAAGAGACATCAGTGTCTACCTCCCTCCTTATAAAGAGGAAACCAAGGCCCAGAGAGGGTAAGGGATTTCCCCTAAGTCAGAGGTTATAGATAACGGAAGTGGGATTTGAACCCAGGTGCTCTGACTCAGAGTCAGGGTTCTTTTCCACTGTTCCTTCTTGTTGTTGATGGGTCACTTTTCAGTCATGTCCACCTCTCCATAATCCCTTTGGGGTTTTTCTGGCAAAAATACTAGAGTGGTTTGCCATTTCCTTCTCCAGCTCATTTTATAGATAAGGAAACTGAGGCAAACAGGGTGAAGTGACTTGCCCAGGGTCACACAGCTAGTAAACGCCTAAGACCGGATTTGAACTCAGGAAGATGAGTCTCCCTGAATCCAGGCCTGGCATTCTATTCACCAAACCACTGAAGCCCAACTCTGATTATTCATGATAGCTTTGAGGTACCTGTAAGATCCCTGCAAATGAAGATATTCTATATGTAGCTGGAGAAGGGGATCTAATAATAACGATAATAATAGTTTAATATTTTAGTATATATCTATATAATTTATATATTTATAAAGGCTAGAAAATCAAATATATGTGTATATTTAACATAAATATAATTATTGTAAGGAATAATAGCTGTATATTTTAATATAAACTTATAATTTATATATTTATTATGAATATAACCAAATAAATGTATTGGCATATTTAATATAAATATAATTATTACAAAGAATAATAATCACCTTATGTTTTTGTATAAATATATAATTTATGATGAGTAGATAAATACGTTTGTATGTTCAATATAAGTCTAATTATTATAAAGAACAATACTTCATGTTTTAGTATAAATATATAATTTATGATTACTATATAATCAGATAAATATATTTGTATATTTAATATAAACACAATTTACAATTACTATATAATCAAATGAATGTATTTGTATATTTGATATAAATACAACATTTATTATTACTATATAATCAAATAAATATATTTGTATATTTAATAGAAATGATTGTAAAGAACGATAATAGCTTCATATTATTATTTAAATAGCACTTTATAATTTTCAAAGCATTCTGTGTATATCATGTTATTTGATCTATGGCTTGGAGGAAGGGTCAGGACTAGAGATTTAGGTTTGGGAGCCACCTGCATAAAGGCAGCAGCGGAAGCAAGGTGAAGGTTGATAGTAAGTCACTGGGGACTTAAGGAAATGGGAAGAAGAAGAGGAACCAGAGAAGGAGGGTGGGGAAGGGGTCAGGATGGTAGAAGCAGAAATGGCGAGTTTGATGTCTCTGAAGAAGGAGGAAGGGCTAATGGTGTCCAAAGCAGAAGACAGGTCAAGGAGGGAGAGGACTGAGAAAAGGTGAATTGTGACCTTGGAGGCAACAGTAGGGAGTGAAGCTGGAAGGGAGATTGGGGGTGAGGTAGGAAGGGAGGCAGGTCTAGATCTTCTGATTCCAAAACCCAATGCTCTTCCCACTCAGCTGGCTGATGGGCCATTGTTAATGATACCTCCTACATGAAGCCTTCCCAGATGGACCTTTCATGGTTCTGGCTACATCTTGAACTCCATGATTCCTTGAGCCTTCACTAAGCAGTGTGGTACCCTGGAGACAGCGATGGATTTGGAGTCAAGAGAACTGGTTTAAAGCTGGCTCTGCTACTCACTACTGTCATGACCTTGGATCTTGGATATCCACTAAGATCCTTGCCAGCTCCAAATACATGATCCGTGTTACCTTTCTTGTATAATTTGTTCCTTTTCGTGTGCCTATGTTTTGTCTCCTACAGTAACTACCCTTGGGCGAGTTACTTACATTCTCTGGGCCTTGGTTTCATCTGTAAAATAGGGGAGTTCTCCTAGAGTAGGAGTTCTTAATCATTTTTGTGTCCTGGACCCCTTGGCAGCTTGGTGAGGCCTATGGACCCCTTCTCAGCGTCATGTTTTTAAATGCATAAAACGAAATACATAGGATAACAGTAGAAACCAATTATGTTGAAATAAAGATGTATTTTTTCCCCATCCAAGCTCCTGGACCCTCTGAACTCTATCCAAAGACCTTTTTTTTGTGGGGGGCTGTCGGTGGATCCCCCTGTACTAGAGATCCCCTCTAGTTCTGACGTTCAGGATTCTATGACTGCCACTAGGACACAGAGACTTTGGACAAGATTCTATTGATTCTAGATTATTAGCTCCTTAAGGAATGCTTCCCCCCTCCCCCTCCCCTCAAATTGGACGCTCCTTGAGGATCCAGGATCACAGACTGAGTGCTCTAAGGGGCTTTAGAAGACAAGAGGCGGTCTTGGCATCGGAGCCACCCTCCTCCTTCCTTCCCCAGAGCCTTGCTGACTCCAGGCTCTCCGTCCCTACCTCTTTCCAAGTCCAGCAGGTAGTTGGGGGCGCGCTCGATGGAGGAGCAGTTCCACCGCATGTCAGAGAAGGCCTTCCGGCAGGTCTTCATAGCCTCTCTGGCAGCCTGCACGATGGTTTGCATCAGCTCCAAATTGCTCCGGCATAGCTGGACCTGGGAAGACACCAGTCCTTCCAGCTGTTTGCAGTGCTGAGTCTGGTTCAGGGCCAGTACTGAGGGTGTCTTGGACAGGGCACTAGGCGCCCCAGAAGGAAAATTAAAAGAAAAGAACAAAGAGGAATAAAGCCAATGAGGGTCAGAAAGTCCTCCCAATGGGGTTTCTCTCCACCTAGACCCAGACTCCAAGTCTCTGCAGGAGAGACAGATGAAGTCATCTGCCTGAAAAGAGACAGCCTAGTGTGGGAGTTCTGGTTCTGGTCTTGGCTGAACCTCTACCTTAAAACCACAGACTGTTAAGCTCTGGAAGTGTCCTTAGGATATAGACGGTTAGGGCTCTGTCATCACCTCACTGTATGACCTTCTTCTCTCTGGGCCTCAGTTTCTCCTTCCATAAAGTGAAGAGTGTCAGATTGAATGATTCTGAAAGCTCCCTCCAGCACAGACATTCTACATTCTAAGCTCTTCTTGACCTCTGGAGTTCTATATTCTAAGGATTCTTCCAGCTCTGGCATTCTATGTTCTACATCCTAAAGTACCTTCTAGCTCTGACACTGTGTTCTGTGTTCTAAGGCCCCTTCTAGCTCTGACA